CCAGAAGGGTGGCTTAAAACTGGAGCACAAAAGCTGAGAAAAAGAGCGCATGAAACACAATAGCAAGAACGTAAATGAAGACTCTCGGCAGACAGGAGGGCCCAAAGGGGCTCATCAGATTTCTTTCCCCTTGAGCGACTCAGTCCATTGCTAGAACCAGATTAATACCTTCTCCTCTCAACATACTCCAGGAGAGAAGAAATCTTGCTCCAGCCCTCTCCCCTGCTAGGAATGAAGATTGGTAAAGACTCGAATGAGAGACTTCTAGAAGATAGTGTGGCAGTGAAAATGTTCCCCAGGACTCACATACGTGAGGGACTTATCTTGAAGTAAGACTAAAACGGGATTTAAGTGGTACATGGGGCCTGTACTGGCACCGTACATATAAGCAACTTTTAGTCTCCATGAAGGAGAATGCATTCAAATGAAATAGTGAGGGCCTGAAACACTGAGGTATGCAGATAGCCCAAATCCCTCAAGAACTGAGAGGGGAGATAACTCACTCATGATAAGAAACAAAATCAGGTAGTAAAATTAAATTACCTGTTCGCCCTAAATAGTCACTTTAATGGGACAAATCCACAGATGACATAAGCACAGAACAGGCTGGCTTTCATTGAAAGTATCCAGATTTACAACAGCTGAAGATATGACCCAATAATCTTAAAATGAATATTCCATCTATTCTGTCCACCTTTGCCAATTACTGTTCCATATTTTTTTAAATACAGTCTTCAGAAAAACTTATCATTGCTTTATGGAAAGGAGTTCAACAATTTACTCTGCAACATTAATATTAAGAAGGTGGTGAGCTGGTACATCATTACTGGCTAACTGCTTATCTCTGGCGGGCAGAGAAATTGTGTCAATTTTAAATAACTGAGCAATTATTAAAAAATTATGTTTGTCATTAATCTAAGTTAGCAGTGTTGCCAGTCACCACCGGTTATGGTAACTAGTTTCCAGATTTACGACAGAGTTGTACAATATACCAGTTAAAATCAACACACTTCTCTACGGTTGTGAAAGTGCATCACTAGATTCATGAATTATATTAGGCTTCCTTTGTAAATTTCTATTTTGGGAAGATACACTGTGTGCAATGTTAGATTATTTAATAGTGCAATGTTAATGTCATTTATTACAATTAAAAATAGATCTGATCTTGTTTTTAATGTTTATCTTTACTAGTCCTTGCTTCTAAGACTGTGTTTGACTGCTAATTTGGTAATCATCTCAAGGAACTGGAATGAAACACTTTAGAAAATAAAATGCCTAACCTAATCGCATTTCTTAAAAGAAATTTCTTAAAAGAAATTATGCATGGGTGTGCATGAATGTGCATGCACACACGTGCTGCCCAAATTATTAAATCACTGAGCTTCCTTTTAAAATCTCTTTAGAGCTAAGTGAAAGAAAACCTCTGTTTTCCATTGCTTTTATATGGACTATAATTTAATTTGCAAAGTAGAGGAAAGCCTTTATTAATAAAAAGCATGAAATTACTGTTACATTTTCCAAATAAAATCTATTACCTGAAAAACTGCCTTTTAAAATGCTTTTAAAATTCTAAGTTATGTAAATTGAAATGTTAGGTGGAAACATTTTACTACTGGTGAATGTTGTGGAGTAGAGTAGCAAAAGAAGAATGTGCAGTGTGATGAATAGAAAAGGCAAGTTTTCAAAAAGTGGGTGCCATATTTAAGTTCTTCAGTTCACGTCGTAACATTTAAACAAGAATCCTAATTAAAAGAGGTACACCAGCTCCTTCCCTTAAATTGAGTGGGGCTCAACTACTTTGGGCAGCTAAACTTATATTAAGCATCATAGGTGAGTTAGGCTTTCCAAAAATTACCAATTTTTGAAATTGATAGCCGTCAGCCAGCAAGCGTATGTCATGTGAAGTATTTTCGCACCTAAAACTAATGACTGCTTAGTTTACTTTGGGTGTAAGCAGTGACACCACTTGTACTTTCAAGAATGAAAATTACAGAGGTGGCTACTATTATTTCTATCTACTGTGTCTGCTGATCTTTCCACGCTCTTCCAGGTTTTGACCTGGTCATTAGGTGAATTTGTTCTCCAAAATCAGTAATCTGCTGCTATTGTTGACAGCTTGATCCACGAATGCATCTACTAAACAAGCAAACACAGTACATGAACACTGGTCATGTTGATTCTCGTCCAGAATTGGCACTCTAGATATGCTTGTTAATAATTTCCAGACCCAAAGAGCTTCCAATTAAATAAAGAGCAAGAAAGTATTATTTTTCAGATAAGGAACTGAAAATCTGAAAAACATTATTCTAAGTAAACATTAAGCCTGAGGCAATGCGCGAAAGAGAATCCAAATATCCATAACACAGTCTGCCACCACAGCGTTCCTCTTTCCATGTATTATCTGCTTGTTCTGGCTAACAAGGCCCTGGCAGCAAGACTCATAAGCTTACCAAGCTAACAGGGGAAGTTAGCAGATTCTAAGGCTTAGTGGGCAATGTACTCTGCAGTCAAATTATCTATATCTTGACTTGGATAACCCTAAAATTTGAGTAATATACATTTTTCACATCAGCCAGCTGTGTGCAGGAAGCTAAATAATCTGTATGACCTTAGACGCCTCCTAATTCCTTTCAGTAGGTAAACGAAGCTGAAACCCATCCAGCACAGCGTGCTTCTGGGACAGTATCAGACTTTGGAGGGTATCACAGATGAAAATTCCTGTCTATGTTCAGTGCACTTCTCACCCCTATGCCATTCACTCAGGTACAATTTGGCAGCAGCTGTATCTAGCCCACTCTTTTTAGGTAGGTGTCTGTTTTTAACATCCTTGCGAATAAACGAGGAATTGCCACAGAAAAGCTCAGTGTAGCCACAGAAAAGCTCAGTGTAGTGCACTGATTCTCTGATTTCTCTGACTGTTGCAAGCACCAGATGTTTTCTAATGCCTTCAGGAGTGGGCATCCTGTCTCCTACATTTCTCATAATATGACCCCTAAAGAAAATTACATCCATGTCTCTCTTGTGGGTCAGCAAGATAGCCCTGAAAACAAAAATGATTACAAAAAAACTACGTTTCTAAATTGTAAGAAAATGTATATTTATGAAAAGTAAATCTCTTCAAATATGTACTAAAATAGATGAATGTATACACATACACACAAATACATGCTAACTTCAAGACTTAATCAAATGATCTCCCTCTGGGAAAATACAGTCCACATCTCAGGTAGAAGATACCTTTACTCTTGTTTATTTAGGGATAAATAGCAAATCCCTATTTATACAATTTACAAGTATTATTTATGGCAAGTGCCCACAATCTTGTACAACTTTAGGATATGTGCAGGTAAAAAGAAGTTTAGCAAGATTTTCCATCTGCAAGACGATAATCACAATATTTAATATATACTCAGTAGCTGATGATATCTCCAATTACTAGTGTACACAGGGAGAAAAAGTGCTTAAAAACCAGTCCATGGTCAGATGATACGAACTGGGTTGCTACCAGTTCAAAATCAGAAAATACAATGAATATTCAGAAATATTCTATTAGATATGGGTATGTATAGTTTTTGGCATTATATTTTGCCACATTAAATTATACTGTCCCAGATAAGGAGGGGAAACTTTATTTTTGAATAAGCTGTTACTCAGGGTGGAATATCTGCTGTATATTACCCAACAGTACATTATCAGACTGCTTGAGCAGAATTTGGCAAAAAAAGTGAGGGGGAGGGATCTACACATGTCTGCGTTGCAAAGTAAAGAGGAATAAGTCTACAGATATCTAGCAGGTTTTCTCGCGACTTCACAGGAGTTAAGAAAAGACAGGCAGACTGATGATGTTCCCACTGTTCATTCACTCTAGAAATCACTTCTAATTGTACAGGAAAACTATCAACTCACTGGGCACGTTTAAGGACTCTAGACTAGGCATTTTATATCTAGTATTACTAGGTTAATGATAAGATGGTGGAAGTCTCGGTTATGCTTCTGGCACTGTCAGAAAACTGGCTGGCTAAAAGTGATTCCTCTGTATTTGACAGGTATGCTCATTATGCGTATTATTATTATCCTGCTCATTTCAGTGAAACAAACATCTTCATAACTCTATTTTATTCCCACTAATACTTACAGAGATCATGCAGGTACGAAAGTATGATCTATGCTCTTTCCTACCTCACGCTTCATCAGAAAATGGTTACATTTCAAGCTGTTGTCTTTGCTTTGCAGGGAGGAAAGCTTTTGCTTTCATGGATCTGAACTAGTTGAACTGTAAATGACAGCTCAGTTCATTCATCATTACTAAACACGCGAAAAATCCCAGCTTGATTTTCAGATCACAGGGTAGTACAGAAGACAGAAGGCCACGTTCTTATGCAGAGAGCCTTGAAATAACAGCATAGTGAATAGAATAATCACTGCAGGCAATGATATAGTTATAGAGGTCCTTCTATTGCACAGATAGACAGCGGATGGCAGTTACCATCAGAACAGAGCTGTTACATCTCCATAATCACTAAAAGGAAGTGTTAGGCAATCTACTGACTCAAATCAGACTGACATGCCAAGGGGTAAGAGGTTCCCTCATGTGTGTCCCTCATGACACACATGAGAAATCTGACATCTTCAGAAGAGGTCAGAGAAATCACAAGAGCAGGATCCTTTATAAGCAAGCCAATGCTACCTGGAAATCTTATTTTGCAGAATTTAAGGAATCAAATTTTGGTTCTAGCTCAAATCAGAAAATGCAGAAAAGTACAAATGGTATCATATCAATAAGACTTGAACACTTCTTTTCCTCAGGCAGGATGGGGGCAGAGGTAAATAGTTTTTTAAGCCAATTTACCCACACCCAGTACTGAAAAGATAACAAAGAGGGTCTAAAAAATAGCCTTCTTGTTGGTTTAAAACAAACAGAGAGTTTGTCACTGAAAAAGTCATGGATAAAGTTCACTGCAACAGAAAATGGCTATAGTAATAATAGCAAATATTCTTACCAGTAAAGTTGATGGGCTACTTGGATGCTCTGAAGAGAGCGATTCAGCAAGAGTTTCACTAGAGGGCTTTCAAGGCTCCATTCAAACTTGAGCACCTTAACAGATAAATTAATAACAAGAATCACTGACATGCTGGTTTTGCTGTTTTTCCTTTATAACAAAATTAATCAGAAAGGACATCATCTTTATAGCTCAAATGAAGTAATCCAACATACGGAAAATGCCCTGAAAATGCAATAAGCAAAGAAATTTCAGGACATAAGCATTTGTCACCATCTTTAAGAAAGGCAGGGATCCTCAGGATTCTGGCTATGATAACATATATGCAAATATGCAGTCCTCCACCCTTTTCCCCTTGAAAACTAAAAATACTATATTCAATTTTTTACCTAATTACCTAGTTCAAAAAATAAACTCCATCTGAAAACTTATTTGTGAACCAGAGGCTGCAAAAAGACAAAGGCCCTATAAGCTTCCTACAGTGCTGCATGCTGTAAAGGTGTGAGAGAGTCACTACTTCACAGTAATGGATTACATAGATATGTGTATACACACAAATATATAAATACTTATGTATACCTGTGTATATATAAATATATGTGTTTGCCTGTGTGCAAATGTATAAAATCACAGGAGAATCTGAGGAGCTCTGACATGCAGAACTGTAAGCAACGCGTGCATGCAGTGTTACACAGTAAGGACATAAAGCTTTGAAGGTGGCTTATTCCTCTTTAACTACAAAACAGAATCTATCCAACCACAAAGTAATTGCTTTCAAAGCAGCTGGGCCTATAACGTGTAAAACATTCATTTCCAGTGAAAAGCAATGTACATCTTTAAAGAGACTATTCTACACCTAAATTGCCCTAGTTACTATGAACTGACAATGATTTTCCCTATAACGGTGGTATCTGTACTTCAATATTGTATACAGCCATCAGGAAAACTGATTCATTGTAACACCCTTTGCTTCTTTGACTGCAATGAAACCCTGCCACCACTAGCCCCTGGTCTGACGGTCCCAGCAGCATTTCTCTTGTTCAGATGCCTTTTTTTTTTCTTTTTTTCTGAGGAAAGGCCTTCTTGCAGTATACAGAAAAATTCACTCAGCATGCCAAAAGAAAACTACAGTCTCTAGAACAATCTATTGCACAGCCCTGTTGTTAATTCAATCACTGCATCAGCTGATCAGTCTTTTCTATTTATTCCTCTCATAATATATCAATCAAATGAAAAGAATCAGAAGTGTTTAATGAAGTTATTGATCTGGACAGAAGACTTTCTTGGATATCAATTTCTTCCTTACCTGAACCAGCTGTGGGAGGTATTCTAACAATTCATCATTTGACAGATTTTCTATTTGTTGGACTGCTGTTCTGCGAATATCTTGATCTGGAAAACTAGAGCAAAACAAATAGATATCATTAAGAGCTACTGAGCCACTGCTGATGCACTGCCACTCTCCAGAGCTCTCACTGATATAAAATGTAGAAAAATAAGTTTACTCTCAGAATGGAATAGAAAAAAATCAATTCATTTGCTTTACTGTAACAAGAGTCAAGAAACACACAGCAGATAACTTAATTGGATGGACTGTTACAATTCCCTACAAGGAAAAATAACCACAACACTGATCTTCAGATACCTTTATTAACCTGTGCCATCATATATTGTAAATTTCTTTATTCATATTGAAATACGAAGTAAATTATGGACTTTCCCTTGTTGTTCTTATTTATCTGAAACGGGGAATTTCTGTGCAATGGGAACTTTTAACAGTCACTTGAAGACTATTTTTGTTCTGAACTCCAACACAAAAACTTGAAATTTCCCACAGAAAGGGTTTGTTTCAGATAATTTACTCCAGCGTTAACTCTTCTGGTTCATATTGAAACACAATAAAATATTTTTAAACAGGAGTAAATTTGAAATGGAAAATATGTTCTCTTTTTAAAAATTTGCCTAAAACAAAATTTTGTAAAATATTGACATATTTGTACAAAAAGGTTCCAAGTCAGTGAAACAGCCCTTTCTGATGTGAAAATGTTCAATGAATATTCAGGATAAACTCCATTCTGAACAAATACTGACTGAAATCACCGTGGACGTGGGCCAACTACAGACTTCACCGTGGAGCTCTAGAAGTAATAATGATAAAGAGGAAAAGATGGTGTAGCAGCAATGATAAAACAGGGAAAAGAGGCTGGATAATGCAGGTGGTCACAATATTTTTCTTCAAAAAGAAAAAGAAGGCAATCCAAGTGTAACTTGGCTGTCCGATCAAAACTGACTCTTAAAAGAACTTTTTCTCTCTTTTCAGAAGACAAAATAAAGGTTAAAGTGTTTCTCAACTTTTGAAAGCTGACAATAGTCTTTTAAGGATTTCTTTTGAAAAAAAATGCAACATAAAACTGACTTCTACTTTTGATGTGCTGTAGACATGAAATTAATAATGACACTCGCAGAACCTCACATACACAGAAGTTAGCTAGATTGCTTCCCAGGTGGCCGTTTTGCTACTGCCCTGTTTTTACAAGGAAAGGCCAGCAGCAGAGCCGCTCTTCTGGGTATGTCTGTTATGTGGTATCATCCCTAACTACTTGTCAGTACCTGCAGTTTGTCCGTTGCCATCCCAAGAGCTCTGTCTTGCCCTGAAGCAAAGTGGGAACGCACTTTCCCACAAACCTTTCTGTTGCCAAAGCCACAAGACTGGTGAGAGCTCTGCCGCAGGGGCAGAAATGTCTTCTATCAGCACCACAGCCAACCAGATATTGTTCAAAATTGTTCGTGCCCCTTCTCTGAGGGCAAGTCCCTGCCCCACAGAAAGCTGTGAATCCCACCACTTCTGAACGGCTAGGGCTACGGCGCTCTTTTGAAAATCTCAGTCTCAGTCTCGCTGATTTGGCAGCATAGGCACATGTACCAAATGAGGAGTAAAGGCCACAGATTTTGCTGTCAGTTCAGCCTAGAGGAAATCCTTTGAAATCAGAACTGTCATGTATGGCAGAGGGCATCACAGGGCCACCAGTATTACTGCTTTATGTGCTCAAAAAGCAGACTGCTCTGTTCCCAGCTTTCCAGTCAGCACCTTTTGCCAACTATATATCCAGCTGAAAAATAAATCAGAAGCAAAACACAAGGTACAGTACCACACTGGCAGCAATTATTGCTGATTGCTATCAAGAGAGAAGGAGAAGAACTTGTAAAGGTAAGTGTTCAGAAGTATAATGGCACTTTTAAGTTTAAAAAAATAAACCGAAGCAAAACAATACACATCCCCCCACATATGCTTTGATCATCAAATTAATTGTGGGCCATCTAATAAAAACATGTGCATTTAGAAAACAAATGGTTGATAGTTGCACCTACTTGAAAGGCCTGGCTTCTGTGCTACAATCATCTGCCATCTGTAGCACTTTGAAATTCTCCTTTAACAATACTGCTTGGTTCAGATTTTAATATTTTGTCCGTTTTGGTACACATTTGATGATGTTTTTAATAAAGTCCATAATTGTTTGCATAATGATGAGAGGGATTTGATCAGGAGGGAGGGAATACTTTTCAAATAAATAATCATTTTAGTCCCAAATTAGCTTATTTTGCAAGGGTTAATTTTTATTCTTTTTTAATTCTAGATAACCTCTTCAGAATATGAAGTTGCTACTTCAATATTCACATGGCAATTGAGAACAAAACACGTTTGAATAAAGACTGCATATTAAAAAAAAAAAATCCCTTTTAATCTTCCTATCATCTAATAGCGCAATTGCTCCAAAAGCTTGTGTGCCAAGACTGTGCAGATAATATGGAAATTAGTCTTTCCCTTTCCCTTCTTGCCTAGTTCAACAGGTTACTGAAGAATGAAATATGTTCTTTACAGGCACCAAGTCAAGCAGAAAAATGTTATTACTTAGTTACTGCTTGTCCTTACTAGCAGCCAGCTTTTGAATATATCCAATGTTACGAGAGAAACTCCTGTAGTTTTCCAGCTAAACAAAAAACGACTAAATTATTTTAATCTCAGGATTTCCAGAAAATCTAACATTTGATTTCTTTCTAATTAATCTGCCAAAAATCAGAACTAGGGCTACATCCAAGTTACCAAAAGTATTTCTACAATATATGATTAGAATAATGATGCACTCAAGAGCATAGGCGCTGCAGTGAAAACTCTAGAGGTCAATTTGTTTCGGAAAATATGGCTCTTCTCATTTTGTTCTTGAATGAGATTTTGGGCAATTTGTTGCTCTTGGTTACTAAACTGTTTCCTTCAGCATGTAAATTTTAAAGTTGAAGGCTTGAAATTGAGTTGAACCATTCTGAAGGAATGACATGTCCTCTTAACCACTTAACAATTTGTTAAGCCTCAAATGTAATACCCACTGCTCTCTTGAATTTTGTTGTTGTTTAGGGCCACAGGAACAATAGAAAAATATTTAATGCTGCTTTACCCCACACATTTGTATTTAAGAATTTGAGCAAACATTTAACATCCTGAGAAACATTAGCACTACAGCAACACTTACAAATTCAACCAGTATTTTATAGTGCTTATGCTACTCATGCTTACATTCACAAGCTTTATTTTCTAAAAGCCACTAACAGGGCAAGGTCCAGAAGCTGATCTGAATAAAAAATCTTCCCCTTCATGCTGCTGGAAACTCTCTCCTCTTGTGATTTTCTAATCAATTAGGGCTAGAGGGCTTTCCCAGTGAATAATCTGGCAAACTTCCGAGTGCTGTGTCAAATCTGATTTCAGTAATTCATAAATTACTCTTGATTAGGGGACACAATTAATTGATTTTTTGGCTCAGTGACTGAATGCAAGAGATCGCTTTAGGCCTAGGAGAAGCAGCTTCAACGCATGGAGATTAGAGGACAGTTGAGTTTCAGGGCTTGCTACGATGAATCCGTAATGATTTACACCTACTGAGAACTCTTCAAGGAAGCAGATGAGATCACTGTACCACAATGGAGTCAACAGTCCAGTGTTTAGGCTGCTCCCTTAAGAAGTGGGAGCTCATCTGAAGCGTCTGTATCAGATCAGTTTTGGAAAGGATTTGAAAAGCAGACTATCAAAGACCTGACAAGTGGCTTCCGAGGGGCAGGAGATTCAGCAGCCCCTCTCCCTAGCTCTTTTATGATTGTCACCAAAAACCCATTGTGAATTGAGCTAGAAAAATAACCATAAAACAAAAACATTGTAACAATGCTTGTACGACTCTTTCTCTGTGTATTTTTACTACTTGAAACTATTTAGTAATTTTGACCAAGGTTTCCAATTTCTTTTAGTCATCTTGATTTTTTTCTTTTTTTCTTGACAAATAAGCTATTGGTCAATAAATATTAAGTGAATAGAACTGGTCTGTTGCCCAGTCACCTGCCCGACCATGCTGGGACACACCGTAGCTTTCCTTTTTCGGTTATTTTGTTTGTCCTCTCTTCAGGTAACGACTACTCCGTAACAAGGCTTGTGACTTCTTATAAGTTTGTCCCAGGTTTATATACTTATGAACGCTACTGAAGAAAAAGCAATATGTAAGTGATGGTGCTGTGTCTAACCCTCAGCAACAACTCACACTACGTGGAACTTCCAGATTTCCCCTTCAGAAGTTGTCTTGCAACCTGGATTCTTCTTCAGTTATGAAACTGATTTCCTTTGATATTTAACTTCAACATCTCTTTTGCTGTTTTAAAATCACACTGTTTTATTCCTTCCTCCCTGCATAACGCAGATGATTGACAGCCATCCATTTTATAATTTCCCTCTAAGTAGTTAGGTGTCCCTTGAGACTTTATGACGACTTCTGAAAAAGTTGAATTTTGAGCTGAACGAACATAAACTACAGTTCGCTTTAGAAGTAAGAACAACTTACAGTCTTTGATTCTTTTCATATAGATAGCCAGTAGGGAGCTATTTGTCTAGCTACATCTTTCAGCTAAATCAGATCCAAACACAAAACTTAATACTGCTGAGGTGTCCTGTGGATTTGTGACATTCTCTTGAGATTTTGGCATCTGGCAATCAGTGACTTGATTATATCTGAGAAATAGATGTGCATTTCAATTTTAACAGTTATATTACCCTAATTCTATTGCACAATCTCAAATAGCTGGAGGATATTTGTCAGGTAAATGGAACAGTACAATTCACTACATTTTCTAGCATCCGGGAGTCTCTGCAGAGAACACCTTTCAAGTGCCATCTTTTCTGCTAGAGGCTTGTATCACGCCACACAGTTCTGCAACTCCCCTTACATTTTAAGTATGAACTTTAAATTCGGTAGCACTCTCACAAAAGGAAAGACTCTCGCCCCATGAAATGCATTTCATTACATCTGAAGGCAGAGTTAGCAAACTGCTAGAACCAAGACAGCAATTCAAAACCCAAAGCCCTCTA